TTTTAATTTAAAATTTAAAATTTAAATATTAATATCTAATAAGATAAATTTTTAAATTTTAAATTAAATTTTAAATAAGTCAAACTAAATAATTCAAGTTAAAATTTTACTTCTTTAAAAATCAAAATTAATATATATTTTTTTATATAATAAAAAATATTTTTATTTTTTAATTTACCTCACTTGTTAAACAATTCAATATCAAAATGAAAAGTTTATATGGAAAGCAAATAAAATTGAGTTAAGTTAAACAAAGTGGGAGGCGATAACCGCACCCAATAATAACTGTTCCGTGTGTGACAGGGTGACAGCTCTTTTCCCAATTGCATCCTTATTTCTCCAAGCCTATTCTGTGTGTGACAGTGTAGTCCCGACTCTCCATTGGTGTGCCTTGAGCTTCAACCATGGCAAGCCGTACACCCGCTTTTCTGTAACACCGTTAAAATAAGAAAAATTTCATTGCTTTTCCTCTTCCTCCGTTTCATCTCAACGAAGAAAATCTAAAATCCATGATCAAAATCGAAACCCATGTTTATTTTGTATGCGTTTTGATCGTTATGTTGTCTTTTCTGGGTTTTGAATAGGGATCGTATCTGGGTTTTAGGTTTTTGATATTGGGTTGTGTTTGTTTCTGTGTATTAATTGTGTCTGTGTATTGTTTGGGGTAACGTGTATCGAATCCGTTTTCGGCTGAAGATGGCTGAGAGAGAGGACATGAAAGACAATGGGGAGCTTGAGATGCTGTTGAATCAGATCTCTCAAACTCGAGGGTCGTATCTGAATCTTCATCACCGTCAAAAGTTCGTTGTGGGTAGTGATTCACCAAGTAGCAGGGTTTCTCTGCAATCACCCTACTCTGCTTCAAGCTCTATCTCTAATGGGTTTTCCTCTTCTGATGATGGTTCGTCATTTCCAACCATGTTTAACGAGGCTAAGTATGAAGCACCATGTCACGCTAATGGATGCCGGTTGGATTATAAACCGCCTGATTCTTATTGTAATAAGAGTGTCAATGGGAAACTGGCATCTGATTATTTCTTGGAGAAGAAACTGAACGGAATGAGTATTACAGATAAACAAAGAGATTTTAGCACTCTACTGAGGGGATTTGAGACCGACCAACACGGCTTTGCGTTTAATTTTGGTGATGGGTCTAGGGATGGCAATGTACCCTATAATGTTGAGAAGTATGGTTATGGTTCGTATGATGATTTAAACTATGGTGATGATTTTGGTTGTGAAGGTTTCCAATCCTATCCTCACAGGTATTCTAAAAGTTTGGTTGATGATACCAGGTCCATAATTGGTGTTGTGCAAGATGATCTGTTGTACCCTTATACTGCTTGTGATCAGTACAAAGGTTTGTGTTCTGATGATTCTTTTTGTTACAGTAACCAGAGAAATTATTCATTGGAGCAGGGAATGGAAAATGGAATTAATTGGGATAATGGGGGAATTCAATCAGAGAACACTTCTAGTACTAGGCATTACCTTGATTGTGCTCAAGGCACACAGCATTTTGGAGTGAATTATAGGTACAGCAGAGTGGTCGAAGATACATCCAGTTCTCTTAGGCTTCCCAAGCTGGCTTCAAATGTAGACAAGCTACTACCTATTCAATCATTTTTGAGGGACAAGACTACAACAATGCCAAACCATAGGGTTCCCAAGTCTCTTATTTCCATGGAAAGTGCAATGGATTTAGAAACTTGCACTTTTGAGGATAGTTTTATTATACAAGGAAAAAGTTTGGAGAGAAGTTCCTTACAAGAGATTGAATTTCCAAACCTGCAAGGGAAAAGCTATAAGCTAAATTCTTGTATCTACAATGAAGGAATCAATGAAACTGGTCAGGGTCTAGGTAGCTACAGTAGTATGAAACTGATATCAGGTCATCATTCCTTAGCTGAGTTCCAAGGATGTATGTATTCCTTGGCCAAGGATCAAAAAGGCTGTCGGTTCTTGCAGAGGATGTTCAAGGAAGGAATAACCAGTCTAAATTTGCAAATAGTATTCAATGGGATCATTGATCATGCTGTTGAACTTATGCTGGATCCATTTGGCAATTACCTGATGCAGAAATTGTTGGAAGTGTGTAGCGAAGAACAAAGAATGCAAATTGTGGTCATGGTGACCAAAGAACCTGGTCAGCTTGTCAGGATTTCCTTAAACACATATGGGTAACTTCTTCATCCATCACTTTATTTTTTCTCTTTTATAGTACTAATATTCATTGTTCTTTTCCATTCTTATTCTTGATTTGTTACTAAGCAAATCTGGTGCTGCAATACCAGTACGCGAGTGATACAGAAGTTGATAGAGACTCTCAAGTGTAGGCAAGAGATTTCACTGGTCAAGTCAGGCCTTAAATCTGGTATTCTTGATCTTATCAAGGATCTCAATGGAATTCATGTGCTACAGCGTTGCTTGCAATGCCTTAGCAAGGAAGATAATGAGGTAAAGCTTCTTGTTTCCATTGCTTCTAATTATGAGATAAGAGTACAATTAAATTCTTGAAGTTAAACACTTGTTCTGGTCAGTGTTCATGATTTGCTTTTTCCCATTCCCATTTTCCCAGTTTCTACTAAATGATTTTTGTTAAATTAGAATTTAGTTATCTCTGAGGTGAAGTAATATTCACTAGCAAGTTGTTATAAATATGACAGAATGTACCTCGTTAGCATTGTCCTTTGTCCTTACCCTTAACAATAATTACTATTACCATTGTTATAATTATTGTCTGGTTCTTTTTTTTTTTTTTCTCTTTGCTCATCTTTTACGGTTTGAAATTAATGCAATGGATTGAATGATGTTAACCTCATTCAATTACATATATAGAGACCTCAACCAAGTGTACCTGTGATCATTTTCTATCAGAGCAACATACTTAGTGTAGGTTAATGATAAAAAATGGTATTGAAAGCAATTGAATCAACTGAATGCCCTCAACATAATTTATTGATGATAACAAAATTTTAGTTGTATTAGATGAAACAAGTGTTCAATTGCTGAGAAAATTATCCCTTCACCAGCACGAAATTCTTAAGAATTACATATCAATTGAGGGAGTCTTTACAGAATGATTGTTGCAGCAGAAAAGAATAATCTTTTGAGCTAGCATTTCAGATTGCAGTATTCACTAAAATGTCAGGCAGGTAAATTTGTGGTAATCTGATAAAGATTTCAATTTTTCCTGAACTTGCGCATACTGATTATACTTGTCACAACCCTAGCCTCGCCTAATTAATATAGGATGACAGAATTAGGGGCTTCTTCTTCTTTTCCCCCTTTTTTTTTTTTTTTTTTTTTTTATGTTCATGTCTACTTGAAGTAACCTGATTTCTTCTCAACTATTTTAATTTTTATATGCCATGTGTTGAACTGTTGTAGAATTCTGATAGATTTGCTTCTTGTTCAAACTGTAGTTGACAGGCTCTCTATGCATTTCATTTGTTAATACCTTGATGCTATTTTTCTTGTAGGTTCACTATAATCTTGTAAATTTTTCATGTACTTAGTTTCTATTAATTATCTGTTGCAGTTCATTTTTGATGCTGCTGCAAAATTTTGTGTTGATATTGCAACTCATCGGCATGGATGTTGTGTGTTGAACCGATGCATTGATTATTCAACTGGGCAACATCGAGATAAGCTGATCAATCAAATATTGAGAAATGGGCTTCTTCTTGCTCAAGATCCTTTTGGGTAATAAACTAGTTCAACTTGCTTTTCTCCTTACTTGGTTGATAGAGAGAAGGGATTCTACCATGCGGAAAATAACTGATAATGTTCCAGTGGCCTTTTTTATCTTGGGTTGTACAATGAGAGATAACCCTCTTGTATCTCTTAACCCATCATATTCACATAACATGCAACTTCAACTTAAGGCCTCTTACTTCCACTGGAAAGAGATTACCACTGAATTACTTAGACCATTGGCATAGTATTCTAGTGTTTGATATTAGAATTATGTTATCATGAAACTAGACGTTTAAATTTCAAATCGGCCTTCTGGTTTTTCTTGTCCTATTTGACTTCGGCTGATTTTATTAATTGTCCAGAATGTTTCATTTGGTCCTGATTCTGAATAATTTCCTCTGTGACACAGAAACTATGTTGTTCAGCACATTATGGACCTACAAATCTCTGCTGCATGTCTCAACTTGCTTTGCCAGTTTAAGGGGCATTACGTGCAATTTTCAATGCAGAAATTTAGCAGTCATGTTGTTGAGAAATGCCTCAAGATTTTGCCAGTCAGTCGATCACAAATCATCACTGAGTTGCTCTTAGTACCTAACTTTGAACAATTGCTTCAAGATCCATTTGCCAACTATGTCATTCAGTCTGCTCTAGTAGTTGCCAAGGTCTGTTTGCTTGCATTTCATATTAATAATTATACCAGTAACTAATCTTTCCTGAACTAATAGCCTGTTGTGCCTAGCAGGGTACGCTTCGTGCTTCTCTGATTGAAGCAATCCGACCACATACTACCTTGCAGACAAGCCCTTATGCCAAGAGGATTTTCACACGGAAAGTGTTGAAATGATGTTGTCTATACCACTAGTGTTGTTCAGTACCAATTAGTGGTCTTATCTATGTTGCTTTCACTAGAAATAGAAAGTAAACGAGTCTGATTCTGCTCAACTTCAGCCCCAGTTGATGCCGAAGGATGTAAAGGAACTTTTAGCCTGGTGTTGTCTTGTTACAACTTTTGTTGTCTAAATTTATCATGTCTGGTTCGAGGTAAATGAAAATAATCTTTTCCAAGCATTTTATGTCTAGCAATGAAAAAACCATTTTCTAGTCCATATGCTTGGCCAAAAAGAAGAAAAAAATGCAACCTGTAGGCACAGGGGATTTTGAGATTTACTGCCACTATTAACACCTGGAGTCATCGGAAAAGGGAAAATAGGAGATTCTGATATTAAAAATGTAATCATATTGGATAGGAATCAATTCAGACCTACATTATGCTCCACTTATTTTATAGTTCTGTTTGAACATTCTAACATCTTAATTTCCATATTCTCTTATTCACAGAGAGCTTAGTGCATAATCAATAGGGCTTCTACCCCTTAATCCCAAAATTATGTTTGAGTCAGATGGTATACTTTTTCTTCTCAGCAAAGGGGTAGGGGTTTGGACTTTGGAATCCTGTTCTAAACTCCATAATAAGGTTTTGAAGTAAATAACACCTCAGTTGAGCTTTGTTGGTACTTTAGGTGCTTCTTCCAGTTGTTACTAACAGCTTCTCCGCTGCAATGATCACAAGACATGAAATTGTTTCAAAATTTTAAGCATGTAATTCACTTGCATCTCATGGCCTTAGAAACTAAATAATAATAATAATAATAAAGAACATTACACCTCCAAATTTAATTGGGAAAAGACTAAAAAAAAAATGGGGCAACTGCTTTCCCCTTCATCGGGACATATCATAGGATTTTAACTACAACATAGAAGGTCAACGAAAAAAAAAAAAAAAACTAAAGAAATTCATTCATTTGAAAGCCTAAAAAGGAGTAAAATCAAAGATCCAGAAGAATAAATACTTGTCAGCTTGACGCAAAAGCATGATATCAACAATCCATAATGTTTCTGAAGTGACATACGACAGCATAAAACGGAAGATCAACTGATAAAGGATTAGGGAAGAAATACACTTTTACCAAAGCTAAATTCAACAAATACACTTATAACCTCTAGAAACATTCCTTGCAGCCAACAATAGAATTCAAATTTTGCTCATAACAAGCATTACTTGGATATTTCTGCTGCGTTGCAGAACCAGGTAAGTCCAACTCATACAGACAATAATGCCTTAATGACATGGAGTTGAGCTCTGTCATTCCTACAATGAGAGTGCCAGTGTGAAAGGTTTAGCACAAATTTTGAAATGCATTACCTAAAAAAAATAGGTCAAAATACTGTGCAGGTACTCACATCACCATTGGACCTATGAGGAGATATGCTTTGGGAATCAGCACGCCGGTTGCGTGGTGAAACACTTCTTGGTCTAGGAGAATCATTGTCACCGTTGCGTTCATTAGGACTCTCACTCCTTTCAGGTTTCCTGCTTGGAGAATGGCTCCTCCTAGAGTTAGGGCTATGCCTAGCAGGAGAGGCACTTTAACCACCAAATAAGAACAAAAAATTCAGTGATGAAAAGGCAAAAAAATTTAGTGATGAAAATAGGCAAAAAGCAAGCACAAGTTGCTACCTTCCATTAGACTGGCGCCCCCGACCACGCTCATCTTCATCATATCTGTCTCTCCCACGTTCCCTGTGGCGATCAGGACTGATGCTACGGCTCATGCTTCGATGACGATTATTTCTTTCCCTGCCTCGGTACCTGTCACGATCATATCTCTCCCTACTATCACTGCGACTTCTCCTCCTGTACTCCCTATCCCTATATTCATCATGATACCTGAAAACATTGTCCATCAGGCATTCAAATTAGATTTCAGGAAAAATAAGTTAATTCAGGGTCAAAACATTTAAAGGGAAAATGAAGAATAGCTCCTCCAAAGATGACACCTAATTTAATAGCGTTAAAACTGCCATTTCCTTTCCACCTATTAACCAGTCTAGATGTGATGCCACTTTCTGGTCCTCATAGTATTCTCCACATCCATCTCTACCATCATTTTTTTTGGATTTCCAACCATAGAATTTAACCTATACGATTAGATCGCAATAAACAGGTACCCTATCAGTGATTGAATAATCTGGAAAATGTTTAAGAGCACCCTAGTCCCTTAACTCATCAAGGCACAAATTATGTGAGAACTCCACCTATCGTTTACAGAGATGGATCCATCAAACATCAAGATGTTGATGTTCTTAGCTAAAGAAAATCCATAGCTTAACACAACTAGCAAGCCCATTGATTCCAACATTAGGAGGCAATATGAATCATAAAATCTATTTTCCCAGGTCTAAACTTAGACTGATTAAGATAAAAAGTTTTATATCATTCATCAAAATCCATAGATACATTTTACCATATTGAAAGCTCACAACGACAGAGTGATAGTCACAATCTTAAGAGCAACAATGGCATATATCTGTTCAAGGATAATGTCAAACTTATTTTATATAATAAAAAACTAGCTTGTCACATGGGCAGCGGATGAGAAAGAACATGGAGCAAAGCATTGGAGACCTTATTGATAAATGGTTAAAGGGAGAGCTTTGCCAGATCTTAATTAATGTCCATACTCCTTAATTCATTACTGTTAAGTTTTAACATACAATGAGCATTTGCCTTAATAAAACATCAAACTGGAACGACCTTCTGACCGGAATGTTAGCTTAAAAAGCTCAAATTTCATACACTTAAAGTGCATAATGGCTGTTTTGTAGACCCACTCATCTAATAAGTATATTCTAGAGACAGATAGCTACCTTGGACGAGGACTACGGCTCCTTGACCTGCCTCTTCCCTTGGAAGTGTTTTCCACTATCCTCCCCCTGTGACTGAAAACATAAATGAACAGCAGACCTCAATTAGATAGCTACAATTTTAAAAAGAAGCAATCTACAAAATAGAAGGAAAAGGCCACATAGCCATCAAAGTCTGTAGGAACAGTAGGTTTGCTTTAACAGTGAGATCTCCATTAATTACCTTGTTCCGTTGCATCAATTTTTAATTTCACAGGAATGTAATGGTCATTTCAAGGGTATTTTCCTATTACTTTAAAACCCATAATTGCCAGTCCAAAAAATGCCAATGTCTACATTAATACCATAAGATTAGTCAATAGCATTCCATCAACATGTGACATGTCCATGTCTACGTCTACATTCAAAGAAAATAACAGAACCAGCATTCCATCACACTAGAGATATGCTACAGACTTACCCCATGAGTTCAATTACATAGGAGCAAGAAAATGCAACTTTAATACATGAACGATAGAAAAAAAATGAAATTGGCATAACCAAGAAAATGCATATTGTTAAACAAAATTAATTCCATGGTTCATTGAACAAGCATTGGCAAACAAAACTAGAAAGTAATAACAAAGCATTAAGAATAACCTCGTCCACACAGTGACATCAAACGAGCAATAACAAGAAGCTACTCACATTCGCTCCGCATTGGGCCCATACTTGGCAAATTGAACCATAATCTCTCTTCCATCCACAACTCTCCCTTAAAAGACGTGAAAAAACAAATCCAACCCAATCAGTAAAAATAAAAAAAAGGAGAAATTCAAAACAAAAAGATTACTACAAGGACTAATTTAAGAGTGAGCAAAAAAACAAAAAAAAAAAAAAGGGGGAAAAATTAACCATCAAGCTTATCCACCGCCTTCTGTGCTTCATCTTGGTACTTATAGCGTACAAAAGCAAACCCCCTCGATTCTCCAGTCCTGCAGTCATCCAAAGGACAAAGAAATTAAGAAAAACATCACGCCATAAAAGTCAAAAACACAAAATACCAAAAAGGTATAACCTTCGGTTGCGGGGGATGAAGACGTCGACGACTTTTCCGTACTTGTCGAAGAGCGGGAACAGATCATCAGCGGTGGTACCTGGAGAATCAACAGAGAAGCAACGCATATTAGTAAACGGAGAACGGTGGAGAGGGAAGGGTGGTAAAATTGGGGAGGAAGCAAAGGGTGAATACGGAAGGTGATGTTGAGGACTAAGAGGGAGTAGGTGTCTCTGATGTCCGGCGGGCCAGATTTGCCGAAGTGCGACATCTTTCCTCCTCCGGCTGCTACTGAGATGGCGCGGCGTTTGGGATTAGGGTTCAAATTTGAGATTGGGAATAGAAAGGCTCGCGTGAGAGTGGCGAGTACCTATGAGATAATTAGGGGAAAAAAGGCGGCGGTACTGTTTATTTGTTTGGACGATTATGCCCATATTCTTTGGTTTGACCTTTTTTTTCCCGCCAAGAACGGAAAGGAAATATCGGAAAGTTTTTTATTTTATTTTTATTTTTAGGCTTTTTTTACCTATGCCTTACGAATGGTGAATGTATTATATTTTATTATTATTAATACATATAATAAAATTAAAA